AAAATGTGTTAAACCTTTACATATAGTTCAAGAAGCAATAAAATAAAACATCCATACAGCCACCACCCTAGCTTAACAAATAAAAAAGCCAGTTTCTTAGTAGCCCCATATACTTCTTGCCTGCTCGCACGCCCTTCGTCCACACGGGACGTAACCATTTCCTTGTTTTGGGGTCTTTTTTTAATAGTTGTTATCCCAGCCCCAAGCATGTTTTCTGAAACAGCAGGAGTCATGCTGTGGCACTGTAGGATAAGCACTGAACCATTGACCTCAAGGTTGGCAGTTTAAAATCACCGGCCGCTCCTTAGAAACTCTATACAAGGTTGCTATGAGTCAGAATCAATTAGATAGCACTTAACAACAAAGATCATTGTTCACTTCTGCCTGGTTTGAACTTCACATAAAAGAATCACACTGTACGAGAAGGTTTCAAAAAGTTTGTGGAAAAATAAGATACGGGAATTTTCCCACGAACGTTTTGAAGTCCCCCTTTGTGTATTCCTCACTGCCTGGTGCCTTTCACTCAGCATTGTTCGGTGACTGATGTTCCGTGACCATGCCTGTAGCTTAGTCCACACACTTTCATTCTGTAGTGTTTCACAATTTGTAAAGGCCTCGACTCGCATATTCATTGCTGATGGGCAACTGCAATTGTTGGGTTGTTTTGTTTTATTTTGTGCTGTGTTTCTGAACAGCCGACTGGGAACATTCATGAGCCAAGGTTCTCTGAGGTAAATGACTAGGAGGTAGACTGATGGGTCCCAGGCCGTCTGTGCATTAAGCTAGAGACCGGCCAGTCCACCCCCTTACAGGGTCATGTGACTTCGCCGGCATCCTTCTGAAGCATCCTCAGCAGATGTTGATCCTATTCACCTTTATCAAGATGATGGCTGCAAAACGGTATCACCCCAAGGTTGCAACGAACATTTCCTTGGTTAGCCTTAAGACTGAAATTCTTTGAACTGGTATTTGTGTTGCCTATGAAAAGCCCGTGGCTCTCTGTTGCTCATTTTTCGAGTGCTGTCATCTTCTTTCAGGATTGTACGAATTCTTTACCTATTCTAGATAATACTTCTCCTGTTTTGTATCTCATTATATATAGGCTTTTCAGGAAGCGTCAGCGGTGCTGTAGGATAATCACTAGAATGCTAAGCACAAAGTCTGCAGTTCAAACCCACCAGCCACATCACGGGAGAAAGATTAAACAGCTTTCTGTTCCAGGGAAGATTTACAGCCTCAGAAACCCTACACAGGGTCACTATGAATCAGAACCCATTCCATGGCACTTAACAACATAGTTCTTTTGATGAATGGAATGTTTTGGTGTAACTGCAGTCACATCTATCAATCCTTGCCCTTTATGCCTACGCTTGTTACGTTTTACTGCAGAAATCCCACTTTAGTCTTATGTCACGAAGATACTTTCTGTGTTATTTTCTGAAAGCTTAAAGCTTTTGCTTTTCAGATCTCACCCTTTAACCCTTCTGGACTTTGTATAAGTTTGAGGCTGACATCTCACACACCTTTACGATTCCTTCACAGCACTGTGTGTGGATCTCCGTATGCAGTATCTAGTGAATAAATCTATTTAGTGGAATCAAATACTGCTTTGTGTTCAATGCTCAAATTTCACTCTCAAGGTAAAAATCCTTAAGATGCTTCTCCAACTTTGTATCAGCACTTTGAAACGGCTGGACTTGTGGGGATTTCCTTCCCTTCCCCATCCCGTTTTTAGTGAACCACTAAATTGAACACTGGGAGTGGAATAGAAAGGACAGCAACATGGGAGGTAGAAATCTGAATTCTCAACCAAGACCCCTTTTGTCCGAGTTTTAGGTCTCCATTTTTGCAGCGGGAATTAAAAAAAAAAAATCGTCTCCCACTCTAAGTATATACTCAAGAGAACTGAAAACTTCAGTTCGTACAAAAATTCATACATGCACGTCTATAGCAGCATTTTTCACAATAGCAAAACCACCCAAGTGTCCATCTACTGGTGAATGGGTAAGCAAAATGTGGTCCATCCACACAGAGGAATGTCATGGAGCCATAAAAAGGAATGAAGTACTGATACATGCTAAGATATGGATGATCCTTGAAAACACCCTTCTGAGTGAAAAAAGCCAGAGATGCAAAAGGCTACATATTATATGATTTCACTAAAACGAAATGGCACTTATATGAAATTTGCTTCAGGGCAAGCAAATCCATAGAGACACAAAGTCCATTAGTGGTTGCCAGGGATGGGAGAAGGAATCCTGTTGGCGTAGTAGGTTAAGCACTCGGATGCTAACCGAAAGGTTGGTGGTTCAAACCCACCAGTCACTCCATGGGAGAAAGATCAGGTTGTCCGCTTCTGTAAACATCACAGACTTAGAAACCCTATAGGAGCAATTCTACTCTGTCCTATCGGGGTAATTATGAGTCAGAATGAACTCCATGGCAAGGGTTTGGGTTTAGAGGGCTCAGGGGGTGGCAAGGGGAGGAAATTAGAAGTCACTGTTAATGATACTGGGTTTCTTTGGGTTGATGAAAATGCTCTGGAATTACATAGTGCTGATGGTTGCACGCATTACGAAGCTACTAAAAGCCGCCAGACTGTATATTTTTTAAGTGGTAAATACTGCCAGGTAAATTTTATTACCATTCCAACATAATAAGAGACACTAATAGTATCACCATTTTTCTGAACTCTATGTCCCCGGGGTATCAGTACAGAAGACAGATGGGAGATTCTTGGTCCACATACCTCACACGCAGCCACTACCCACCTGTCAGTGGAGGCTTGTGCTACGACGATGCTGGACATATTTCAGTAGTGCTTCCTGACTGAGACTAGGAAGAAAGTCCTGGCAAATCGACTTCTAAAAATCAGGAAAATGAACGCCCTCTGGATCACAACAGTGCAACCTGCAACCAATGGCAGGACTGGGCAGAGTTTTATTCTGTTTTACCCCAGACTTCAAACCATCGAGGACTAGTTAGACACCCTGCTGACACCGAGGTGATTCCTTTAGATTCTTGGGACTCTTATGAACATGTTGATTCCTAGTCAGTATAGCTGGGGTGTTAATGATCATTCTCGGCAGGGGGTCGATCCAGAATACTGTTTAGAAGCCCAGGTTTCCGAACAGGGTTGCTATGAATAAGGGGCCAATTCCAGTGCAGCTGACAACAATGAGCACCATAGACACCGGGAAAGACCTGGGAGGGAATCCAGGCTCCCCATTTAAGAGCTGTGTGCCTCTGGTGAAAATGAAGTTACTTCACCTCTGTGGTTTCCGTAACACTCTCTGTGAAAATGAAGCAACAGGTCCTGCCTAGAACCATCCTGAGAAATCAATGAGGTAACACACACAAGACACTTAGAACAGTGCCCAAGCCAGAAGTGGTCAATAAGCATTAGCTTTGTGCCACTATTATTCAGTTGTTGTTGTTAAGTGCCATCAAGTGGATTCCAACACATAGCGACCCTGTATAGGGTTTCTGAGGAGCAGCTGGTGAGCTTGAACTGCCCACCTTGCAGTTCAAACGGCTTTACAGTCTGGCGCATTAACCCACAGCGCCACACCAGGAGGTCAGCAAAAAGTGAAGGGTCAGCAAAAAGGTGAAAGATCTTCCATGAGATGAAAATGGGCTCTAACACGACAATGATCTTGAAGGTGGCACATGACTAGGCAGTGCTTTACTGGGAGGCACACATGGACAACAAAGCCACCTACATACTATTGTAATACTAAGAGCTAAACCTGAGAGGCATCAATGCTCAGGAAATGCTTTACCCTCCCTCATCTCTCCTGGTATTAATTCTCTCGTCAATCTCATGAGGTGGGGCTACAATCACTCCGGTTTTCAGATGGAGAAACTGAGGCACGCACGCTTTAATGACATACCCAGAATAATACCAAAGCTAAGCAGCAGCAGAAATCCAGACCAAGGTCGAGTCCTGAGCTCTGGGTGGTGGCCCGCAGCCAGGAGGCCTCCCAGGAATTTGTACGCTTGGGGTGCCAGGATGCATGTGTGCCCCACGCCCCTTCAGATCAGGGACCCTCTTTCCCGCATCTGGCAGGGGGCACATAGCGGAGTACTGGTGGGGGTCACCGGGTGAGGGCACCTGGGACGACTGGTCAGGGGCTAGCACATGGGAGGTATCCAGACAACCGATCAAGTATGACGAACGGCTGCCGCCCTTTCTTAACAAGGCTATTCTTTGGAATTACGAGCATTTCCAATTCAGGACACAAACAAACATCTGAACCCGAAAATACAGCAGCGCTGACAAGGGCCCTAGCTGGGAAGCCTCTCCCGAGGGTCTGGATGGGGAGAGGGGCTCGCGCCTAAGAAGGTGGGGCCGCCAGGATTCCAGGTCCTAAAGGAGAACCTACACGAGGGGGTCCCTAGTATGCAATGCCGGGGAGGGGGCGTTGTGGGATTTGGGTCTCGAACGAGGGGTGCTGAGGGCGGTGGTCGGAGGGAAGGGGGTATGGAGTTCCCGGGGGCCCCAGGAAGCCGCAAGCTCCACGATCTCAGGGGTGTGGTTGGGGGCGTTAAGGGAGGCTGGAGAACAAAGAGGTAGGGGATCGGGGCCCGGGGGGCGCGGTACCTGCAAAAGGGGCGCAGTCTCTGGCCGGGTCCCGCCAAACCCGCGCGGCCGCCGCCCCCGTCACCGCCGTCACAGCAGCCGCCCGGCACACCCACACGTGACCCAAGCACGCGCCGGGGGCGGAGTCGTTTAGGGTCCGCCCCCAGCGCCCTAGGAGCCCTTGCCAGTAGTGCGCGTGCGTGACGGTTGCCGTGGCGACCCGGGGAGCGTTGAGCAGCCAATATCGCAGGTGTGAGCGTCTAGTAGGGAAGGAGAGACTGTCGTCCCTGACCAGGCTTGACCAACAGCGACCCCGCGGAACGAGGTGTTCCTTGTTGCCAGAATAAACATGCATCCGGAGACCCCCAAGTCTGCGGCAGGCCAGGGCACAGAGCTGGAGTGCACTATGGATCACCACATGGAGGCGTCTGCCGGGGACCATGGGAGCACAGGACAAGGGGACCGCAAGGAAGGTGCTGACCGCCACCACGGGAAGGGGAGGGGGTGCGGGCCGGCTTGAGTGCACCCTCCCTTAGAAGGGAACTCCCTTCTAACACAACATACTTCATCTTAATACCCAAAAGTAACAATAATACCGTCAGCAGTTGTGAAATGCCTGGTGCCAAGGGCTTGCCGCCCTGGCGCCCTTCGCCAGCCCCCTGCAGTAGGCACGCCTTTCCCATTTCACACTGGAAACTTTAAAGAGGTTGTAAAACCGGCTCCAGTTTACCCTCAGTTTGTCAGTGGCCCCATGGTTAAGTGTGGCTACTAAACAAAGTTTGGCAGTTCAAACTCATCCAGCAGCTCTGAGAGAGAAACCTGTGAATGTAGAGACCCGAGCGGCTGGTGAGCTTGAATTACCGACCTTGTGGTTTAAACCAATTTTGCAGTCCAGCTCATTAATCCACAGTGCCACACCAGGTCAGTAGAGATGACAGCCTAGAAAATCCTATATGACAGTTCTACTCTGCCACAAGGCTTCTCTATGATCGGAATCAACTTATGGTGCCCAACACCACAACCAAGTCAGTGATACAGACTTTATACCTAAACCCACTGGTTCCCTTCCTGCACATTTTAATGTTTTGAATTTATACCTTTATTGGTGTCACCATGGAAGATCAAAGTTCTCCCACCATTAGATGGCATATTATGTGAGAGCAGAGCACCTGAATTGTATCCCAAGTACCAGGTCCAATGGAGAAATGAGTGGAGTTGGTGTGGACCCTCGCTTGGAATGGACTTGGTGGAGACACTGCGGCCTATGGTCTAAGGTGGCTCAGGGCCCAACAAGAAAACCTTCTAATGCCCAGATACAGAAGCAAATTGATTAGCATTTCTTATTTCGAACCTAGTTAACAAATATGAGTGGACTTCAAAAAGTCTGTGGGAAAATTCCATTATCTTTGAATACTGTTTTGCCACAAACTCTTTGAAGCCCCCTCTTTTATCTTTAGCGCTTACTGTCCAGGAAGACCTTCAGTGAGCAGTCATAGGAACCAGTACTGCTCAGCATGGAGACATGATCTTCAAAGCCCTCAGTGTTGGGTTCAGTTTCCAACTCACAGCTTGCCAACTCTGTGACTCTTGGCCTCTGAGCCTTTATCTCTCATCTGCAAGCAGGGATAATTGTGCCTGGCTTGCAGGTTGATGTAAGTTCAGGTGTGAAGGCACATACCAAACAAGCAGACCCACTGCCATTAATTCAGTCAGTTCCAACACAGAGTGACCCTACACAATGGTTTCGGAGACGGAATCTTTACAGGAGCAGACAGCTTCATCTTTCTAGTCCCATGGAGCCACTGGCAGGTTAGCAGTTAGCAGCCTGATGCCTGACCCACAGATATGTTGTTGTCAAGTGCCGTGGCGTCAGTTCCGATTCTTAGCAATGCTGTATAGGGTTTCCGAGGAGCGGCTGGTGAGATTGAACCACTGACCTTATGGTTCAAACAGACCTTGTGGTCCAGTGCTGTATCTCACAGATATGTTGTTGTTGTCAAGTGCCTTCGAGTTCTTTCTGACCCATAGCAACCCTGCGTGGCGTTTCTGAAGAGCGATTCATGAGCTTGAACCACGAACCTTGTAGTTCAGATGGCTTTGCAGTCCAGCGCATTAACCCACAGTACTACACCAGGACTCCCACAGATAGTGAGCCATTAATAAATGCTGGTGGTGGGTGTGTGCCATCGAGTTGGTCCCAACTTATAGCAACCCTGTATATAGGGCTACTGAGGCTACAAATCTTTATGGGAGCAGAAAGTCTCATCTTTCTCCTGTGGAGCAACTGATAGATTCGAACTGCTGACCTTGTAGTTAGCAGCCATGCACATAATCAACTATACTGCCATGGTTCTTTCTAATAAGTCGTGGTGGTAGTGGTGATGTGCGTGGAGTCGGTTCTGACCCATAGTGACCCTGTACAGGGTTTCCGGGGCTATAAATCGTTACGGGGGCAGAAAGTCTCATCTTTCTCCTGTAAAACAGCTGGTAGTTTTGAACTGCTGACCTTGAGGTTTGCAGCCCGATTCATAACCGCTACGCTACCAGAGCTCCTGCTATTATTATCTTGTGATCGTAGTTGCTATTGTTAGGTGCCGTTGCGTTGGTTGCTACTCATAGGGTTTCTGAGACTGTAAATCTTTGATGAGCAGAAACCCTCATCCTTCTCCTGTGTGTTACATAGAAGGTAATGAACATGAGGAAGATCCTCATTGAGATAGAAGAGCAGGGTTTTAACAATAGTCTCAAACATAATGCTGATGAGGATGGTGCAGGGCACGGCAGCCTCTTGTCCTTTTACACCTGTGGTCCCTTTGGGTCAGAATTGACGCCACGGCACCTGGTGGGGGAGTCGGTTCTGACTCAAAGCGACCCTGTACATGGTTTCCAAGGCTGTAAATCTTTGCGGGAGCAGGAAGCCTCATCTTTCCCCCGCGGGACAGCCGGTAGTTTTGAACTAATGACCTTGAGGTTAGCGGCCCGATTCGTAACCACTACGCTACCAGAGCTCCTTCAACGGCACGTAAAGTCTAAACAACCAATTCATTAAATGTTTGCTGAGCAGTTTGTTCCACAATGATCTGGTGAGTCTTGTGGCTGGTCAGTGGATACGATGGGAAATAGACACATATGAGGAGTCCTGGAGTGATGCTGTAGGATAAGCGCTGGGCTGCTAACAATAAGGATCATCAGTTCAAACCCTCCAGCCAGTCAGCTGCTCCTCAGAAACCCTATCCAGGAGCCCTGTAAGTTGGAACCGACTCAGTGTCACTTAAGAACAGCAACAACACAAGTTCCACACAAGGAGTGTTTTCAACTAAGGACACACACATGCACAAATACATACCTACAGCCGCAGCAGCCCATAGCCTTTAAAATTCCGGACCTCTAAAGGAGCTCATTTTTTTCTGACCAAAGAAACATTCTGTTTTTGCTTTATTTTTTTTGTGTGTGTAGTTTTTCTTTTTTTTATTTTTATTGTGTTTGAGTGAAAGTTTACAGGGCAAATTAGTTTTCCATTCAACGATTTATTCACCTGTTGCCTCCTGACTTTGGTTACCTGTCCCTTGGATGTAACAGCATTCCTCCCACTTCCTCCCAGGGTTTCCGGGTTCCTTTATTTCCTACCCCTTCCTACCTGCTGAGCTTTGTTTGGGAGCAAACACTGCCCTTCTGGTCTCCTATGGCTGCCCCTGGTGGAGCTGTAGGATAAGCACTGGACTGCTAAATACAAGGTTGGCAGTTCTCACCCATTCAGCAGCTCTGTTTGAGAAGTCAGGCCTTGTGATGTGATTTCCATAAAGATGAGCCTGCTGCCAGAGTCTATTCCAACCCATAGTGACCCTACAGAACACAGGAGAACTGCCCCAAGGGCTTCCAAGGCCGGCATCTTACCAGAAGCTGATTGCCTCATCATTCTCCCTCACAGCAGCTGGTGGCTCCGAACTGCTGACTTTTCAGGTAGCAGCCCAGCACTTAACCCGCTGTGCCACAAAGGCTGGAGCTTCAGAATCTTCACGGGGCAGTTCTCCTCTGTCTCATGGGGTCTCCATGAGTAGAAAAGGATTCAACAGCGCCTAACAACAACAGCTATGCTAAAAGCAGAAGGAACTATTAATGGAATTGAAACTGGGGGGAGAAGTTGTATGTTTAGTGCTGCTATGACAGAAATACCACACAAGTGGATGGCTTTAACAAACCAGAAATTGATTCCCTCACAGTTGAGGAGGCTGTTACTGTTAAGTGCCAGCGAGTCTGTTCCTACCCATAACGACTCCGTGTAGGGTTTCTGAGAAGAGGCTGGTAAGCTTGAACTGCCGACCATGTGGTTCAAACCGACTTTGCAGTCCAGCTCATTAACCCGCAGCACCACACCAGGACTCCCAGCGGTCCAAATTCTGAGCCCCAGTTCTGGAGGAAGATCCTTATCTCCTTTCAGCGTCTGTAAGCCCAGCCTTCCCAGAGCTCCCCTTGTGTCTTGGCATCAGTCTTTCCTGGATCTAGGAGCTTCACAACTGGAGAACCACTGCATTCCCGATTCTTCTTTCTTGGTAGTAGGACCCTCTGAGCTCTGTTCGCTTGTTTAATCTCTTTTATATCTCAAGATATATATATAGAGAGAGGTGGAGGAAAGGGAGGGAAGGAGTGCTGGTATATTGCTTAGGATAAGTACTGGACTGCTAACCAAAAGTCAGTAGTTCAAACCCAGCAGCCGCTCCTTGGAAACCCTTTATTAAGGTTGCTGTGAGTTGGAGCCAACTTGATGGCACTTAACAATGAGAGAGAAAATCACTGCGGAACTGCTGTCTTCTATTTCACAGACATTAACGAGCCCAAGGACACGTGTGTGGGCCCTTGTAATGCATCCTGCCACAGCGAGCAGAAACAGGGTGGTGACAGCAAGTCAGATAGCCATTTAACACACCCAGGAGATGCCAGGGAAGATCACAGCCCCAGGTATGGTATTGGCTGCCCATGACAGCTCATAGTTCTTGAATCGGGCAATGGTGCTCTCCTCCCTCGTACACATGAGGAAACGTATGTTTGCAGAGAGGAAGCAGCCTGCCTGCTATCTGAGACAGATCCTCTGATCTACAACCATCCTCAGACTGTTAACCATAATGTCTGGCCTGGAAAGAGACATCAATAGTTCTTGATGGCCCCACTAAAAGTATTTTTATTAGAACAGACGCTGCAGTTTTCAAGAATGCTGAAAGTAACCATGTTGGAAGAGGCTTTGAAAGCAATTTTAAAAAAAGGAAGGAAGAGGAGAATTTAAAATAGTTACAAGGAATGTAGAAGGTTGTGGAATCTTTGGGAGTCAGAGAAGGGTCTAAGAAATTTTAGGAATATGTTTTACAGCTGACCAATTAAAATAAACGTCTTGTTCCTGCTTCTCACTTTAACAGAATGACTAAAGGTTTCCTGCAGAAACTCTGTAAACAACACAAGCTTTACAGCACCCCAGCGCTGAACGACACACTCTATTTACACTTCAAAGGTAAGGGCCCATTAAATGGGATGCTTCCTGTGCAGTAGAAAGATGCTGCTTTTGATATTGCTGTGTGCCTATTGGGTCTCGGTTTCCACTCATAGTGACCCTGTATAAGGTTTCGGAGAGCGACTGATGGGTTTGAACTGCTGGCCTTTCAGTTACCAGTCCATTGCTTATCTGACAGTGCCACACCAGAGCTAATGGTATACGAAATTATTCTTCAAACTGTCTGGAGCTCTCTCACGTAGACATTTCAGATTTCAGTGGTTTGTTGTGGTTAGTGTCCTGGAGTCGGTTCCGACTCATAGTAACCCTGTGTAGGATTTCCAAGGAGCAGCTGGTGAGCTTAAACCACCAAGCTTGTGGTTCAGACCTACCTTACAGTCCAGCGCGTTAACCTCCAGATTTCAGTGGAGACTTGTGAAAAACCAATACTGAAGAAAATGTCGTGCCCAACTAGAGTTTTGAAAAAAGAAGGGTGTGGCCCACCAGGTTAGACATAGTTGAGTGGTTAAGTACAAAAAGGACTGAAAATAGGATTGAGCAGCTAGGCTGTCCCTAGAGGTCTTAGCCGGGTGGTCTCATTGTTGAAGGGATCAAGAAGGGACTGTAATGAGAAGTGAGTTGGAGATGCGGTTAACAGTGCTGAAAAGGAGAAGGAGAAAGTGAAAGCTGCAGAGAGGACCAGGCCAGAGAAAATCCAGACCGTAGGGAAACCTTCAAGGACACGAACCCAGCTTCTTCAATAGCAACCACAAATTGCGAGGGAGGAAAGAGACAGAAACAGACAGAGATGGAGACTACAGGTGAAAAGATATTTACAGGCACTGATAGAATTGAAGGGAGAAGTTGAACGACATTAGACCAACTTTCACTACTGTACAGAATATCTAGAAGGTCCACAAGGAAGCAGAGAACCTGAATGACTCTGGAAACCAACAGACACACATAGAACAGTCCACCACCAGACAGCAAAACATACATGTACAGTCCTCCACTCCTGTGTCCATGGACCATCCTCCAGGACAGACCACACTTTAGGTCACACAAAGCAAGCATGGATACATTCAAAAAGATGTAAGGCATACAAAGTCTTTTCTCTGACCATATGGAGCGAAGCTAGACTTGAATAACAGAAAAAAATGAGCACAGAAAAACAAACAAACAAAAAAAGAACCAACCATGAAAAATACATCAATGATGGAAATTAAACAACACACTGTTAAACTATCAATGGGCCAAAGAAGAAATCAAAAAGGAAATCACACATTTCTTAGAGTCAAATGAAAATCAAAGCAAGACAAACCCAAGCTTATGGGATGCAGCAAAGGCCATACTCAGAGGGAAACTTATAGCATTAAATGCCTCAGTTAAAAAAAGAAGGTAGGTCTCAAATCAACAGCCCAGCCTGTCAACCCAAGGACAAGCAAGAGAAGAGCAAAGGAAGCAGAAACCATAGGGTGCACGAAATAACAAAGACCAGAGCCAAAAGCACCAGAAAAGCAAGAGAAGCAATCCAACCAGAAGCTGGTTCTCTGAAATGGTCAGTAAAACTGAAAGCCTTTGGCTAGACTGACAAAAGAAGAGAAGCAAAAAAAAAACAAAAACAGATAACCAACATAAACAATGAGAGAAGGGCACATTACAACTGGCCTGTGTGGTCAGAGCTTAACTAATGGACACCCCCACCTCCCCCTAGGCTTCGACCGCATCGAGAACCTGGATGAGTACACGGGCCTGCGCTGTCTTTGGCTGGAGTGCAACGGGATACAGAAAATCGAGAACCTAGATGCCCTCACCGAACTGCGGTGCCTCTTCTTGCAAGTGAACCTGATTCACAGAATCGAAAACCTGGCACCTCTGCAGAAACTGGATGCTCTGAACCTCAGCAACAATTACATCAAGACCATTGAGAACCTGGGTAAGAAAGAGGGTCCAGGGGCAGGGGGTCACTGAGTATGCCTTTGTAGGTCCATCCCAGGGAGGGAATGTCAGCATGCCTTGGTGGCTGACTTGTGCTGACCTGGCCTTGCAGCTTGCCTGCCAGTCCTGAACACTCTGCAGATGGCACACAACAAATTGGAGAGCGTGGACGACATTCAGCAGCTACAGGACTGTCCCAAATTGTGCGTCCTTGACCTTTCCCACAATCATCTGCATGACCCAGAGATCCTGAGCGTTCTCGAGAGAATGCCCAATTTGGTAAGATGGAAGACAAAGAAAGAAACGAAATCTTGCGAATTTGACGTTCTCTAATTATCAAATCTCTTCTTCCTTCACTTCCTCACCCCTGCCCTCTCTCTTTTCCTCCCTCCTCCTCCTCCTGTCCTTTCCTCCCTCCCACTCCCCTTTCTCCTTCCCTCCCTCCCTCCCCTTCTCTCCCTCCCCCTCCCCCTCTCTCCCTCCCCCTCCCCCTCTCCTTTCTACTTTCCATCTTTTTTTCTTTCACACTTTTCTTCCCTTTGTTCTTTGAGCTGGAATTTCTTGAAGGAAATGGTAGATACCGTGTCACTCCATCCCTAAGTAGCCCTGTGTGTATGTGTAACAGATTGTAGCTGCTGTCCAGCCGATGCTGGGTCACCGTGTATGTCTGTACGTCGTGGTGGAGAATTGGGCTCCACACAGTGTTGAATAGCTAGTTGTTTGGGAAGTAGATGGCCAGTCCTTTCTTTTGAGGTACTGTTGGTTGACTCAGACCTCCACGATAAGTGTTTGTACCAACAGAGTCTCCAGGAAAGATGCTTCATACTCAGGAGGGGCCGAGTGATGGGAGATAGCAGAACCCAGCTAGGAGAATGCCAGCATGCGGGGATCAATGCAACGCAGACAGTCTGCTTTCTGGTTGTTTTGTGTCTGCTTTTAAATTCTCTACGGAGGCCTGGTGTGGATAAGCACTGGGCTGCTTATTGCAAGGTCGGCAGTTCAAACCCACCTGGCGCACTGACATTCACCACTCATTCCTGGTGGTAAACAGCCGTCTCTAGCTGCAAAGGGAAGAAAACAGAGATTCATCTCAGTGCAAAAGGTTGGGTGAGCAAAACTTGTGTCATCACAGCAGCTGGCAAGGCTCCAGGAAATGCTTCCCAGCCTTGTTCTGGAAGGATGAGAAGTCCCCTGACCTGGAGTTGGGGGAGGAGGAAGTGTGTTCTGGGCTGTTCAGACTGTACAGAAACAGTGGAAACTTCTCCCCAGTCTTCCTGAGACACTAGGTCTCAGACTTAGCTTCCTTTTCCCTTTAGAAAATATATTTTATTAACTTATTCTTAGAGCACCCAATCAAAACCAAACACCTATGACCATCGAGGTTTCCGGCTCACGGAGCGATTGGTAGATTTGAACCACTGACTTTCGAGAACAGGGAAGAACTGTCCCCATAGGGTTTCCAAGGCGGTCATCTTTACAGAAGCAGACAGCCATGTCGTTCTCCCTTGGAGCGGCTGGTGAGTTAGAACCGCCAACCTTTCGGATCGCAGCCAAGTGCACAACCACTGAGCCACCAGGGATCCTTATTTTGTAAAATGATTGTTTTTCCAGGGATCTTCGAAAATGTGAGACACACATATGTTGTTGCTGGGTTCTGACACCTAGTGACTCTGTAGGACATGGTTGAAGTGCCACATAGGGTTTTCAAGGCTGCCAGTCTTTACTGAAACAGTCTGCCACATCTTTGTCCTATAAAGCGGCTGGTGGGTTTGAACCACCAACCTTTCATTTGACAGCCCAGTGCTTAACCCACAGTGTCACCAGGGCCCCTTTTCCTTGGAGCACCAGACATATTAAATACCTCATCCGCTCGCATTTTCCAGTCATTAATTGGACTCCGCTGATTTGCTTCTAGCGTGTTCTGAACTTGATTGGAAACCCAGTGATTAAGCACATCCCTAATTATCGGAGGACAGTCACTGTTCGGTTAAAGTGCTTAACATACCTGGACGACAGACCGGTTTTTCCAAAAGACAGGTAAGACGAAGAAAGCCCCGGGTCACGTTTTAGTACTTGGTGGTTGAGCGCGTCTAATATGAAACTTCTGTTTATTTCCAATTTATTCCTGTTTCCACATGTGACTAAATACTGCTTGGAGACTATTGTAATGTCTCTGTAACTATCTTGTCCATGACAGGACACCGTCAATTCCTGAGCACTTAACTGTGTATCTGGTTTGCATGAGCCTTCCATACGTGTCCTCTTACGTCATAAGCCTTTGATCACGGTCTGAGCACTGAATTCTAGTTGTGGCATTACCGAATTAGAAAATGTGGTTTGAGCCTTTCAAGAAGCTCATATATTGTCTCGTTGTTTTCTAGAAGGATTGAACCCATTTCTAACCTCACCAGATAATAGCTATTTCAGAGGAACCTTGGCTGAGGTGACAGCTGGCTGCGGGTGGCATCTCACCGTTAGCAATGTGCAGTTTTGGAGAACAGAGGAGGTCGGAGTTTTTCATCTTTAATTGGCCACTGACATTTCTCCCTTTATGAATATTCTGTTCATTCTCTTTCCCCATTTCTTTGTTGGACCTTTTTTCATATTGCTTTTTCAGAGCGCTTTTTTATTGACCCCTGGACAGGCCTTTTAATCCAGAGTGCATTCCATTCTAATTGTGCTGAAAGACGGCCTGACTGCTGGATCACCTGCTAGCTCTTTATGTACTTTTTCATTTTAACTCTTTATGGGGATTTATGTGAAAGTTTACAGAGCACATCGGTTTTCCATTCAACAGTCCACACTCATTTTGTTCCGTGACATTGACTGCACTTCCCACAATGGAACAGCGCTCTTGCCACTTCCTCCCTGTGTTTCCTGTTTCTATTCCTCCTGCTCCGCTGCTGCCCCTTCCTGCTTCCCGGATTTTGTTGTTGCTGTTGTTAAGTGAGTTAAGGCAGTTCCAACCTATAGCAATGCTGTATAGGGTTTCCAAGGAACGGCTGGTAGGTTTGAACCATCAACTTTACAGTTAACAGTCCAGTGTTTAGCCTACAGCCCCACACCAGGACTCCTGAGCTGTTGGGTATTCTGGGTGATAGTCCTAAGAAGCTTGTACCTCCTGGTGGTGGTGTTTACTTTATAGGCTGGTCTACTGAAAGGAGCTCTGGTAGCGTAGTGGTTACGAATCGGGCTGCGAACCTTAAGGTCAGCGGTTCGAAACTATCAGCCGCTCCGCGGGAGAAAGATGAGGCTTTCTATTCCTGTAAGGATTTACACCCTCCGAAAGGCTATGGGTCGGAACCGACTTGATGGCACTTAACAATATCAAACCACTGTTTGGCTGGAAATGGAGCCATAGAGGTGGGTTCACTTCCTGGCCCCAAGAGTGACTAAGGACCATAGTCTTGGGGTTCTACCAATCTCTAGCAGACCAGTAAACCTGGCCTTTTTTTAAAAAAAGTTTTTAATGGTATTGAATTTTCTTCCACATTTTTATCTACCTTATCCTTTCAGTGTGATCCCTTTTAGAAGGTTTAGCAGGGGTAGCTGGGCACCATCAGTTCTTCTGGTCTGAGGATCGTGACCATTGGGCTTCATGTGGTCTACCAGTTGTTTGATTTTGACAGCTCTATTTGAATCGTTTGAGGACCCTCCAGACTGCTCTCCAGAGTGGCCCTTTCACACTCTCTCCAGCTTCAGTTTTCCCACACCTCATCACATATACTTGTTATTATCTGTCTTTCTCATGACAGTCATCCTTGTGGGTGTGAAGTGCTGTCTCACTGTGGGTTTGAGTTGCATTGCTTTCCCTGGTGGTTAATGATATTGAGCCTTTTTTGACGCATTTAGTGACCCTTTGTGTATCTTCCTTAGGAAAATGTCTATGCAGGTGCTTTGCGCCCCTCCCCACGATGCCATAGTTAAGGTTTTGTGTCAACTTGATGGGGCCCGGATTCTCAGTGATTTGGCAGTAAGCGATAATAAATCCCCCTGATGAGATCAAATATATTTATGACGTCATCTGATGTGTTTATCCTATGTGTTAAGTCCTCACTTGTGTGCTGTCAGTGAGGTTGGGTGCAATCTACAGGATGAGGTTGGATCTTGGTCGATCTCTTGAGAGAGAGGTGAGTGGAGAAGGAGGGACATGCTACCACCGAGAAAGAAGAGCCGAAAGTGGTGTGTGTCCTTCGGGCCTGGAGTCCCTGCACCGTGAAGCTCCTAGGTCCAGGGGAAGAGTAGACACATGGAGATCTCCTAGGAATGCTGGGCCCACAGATCTCCAGAACCAGTACTGCACAGAAACTTTTTAAAGTGTTGAAGAGCAAAGATGTCATCTTGAGGACTAAGGTGCGCCTGACCCAGGCCATGGTATTTTCAATAACCTCATATGCATGCAAAAGCTGGACAGTGAATAAGGAAGATCGTAGAAGAATTGATGCCTTTGAATTGTGGTGTTGGAGG